ACCACTCAAATCTTTCCTCGTTCTCTCGTTTCATTTTCCTCCTCCCCTTTCTGCCCCTGCTGCCACTGTGGCCTTTCAGAGAGTCTGGAGTCATGTGCATAAGGTGGATGAATTGTCGGGAGAAAGATTGTTTTGTGTGGAGGTTGGGTGGCTGTTTTCTTCCAACCAGGCGGTTGTGTCACGGGCTCACTTCGACCAATCAGGGAATGCAAAGGTGCGTTGATGATTTAAGCAGCACTTTGTACAGACCAGGGGTAAGTGGAGTGCTTGATCTGTACACGTTTTGTTTTACCTCAAATATCACTCCCCACCAAACTGCCACTCCCATTTCTCAACCGGATATGTTGTCTTGTTTTGTTTTTTTTATCCCTTGCGCAGATTTTATCCAGATCGATGGAGAGGAGAATCGTCAACTGAATCCGTTAAAGAACGAAGCTATTTTTCGAATAGTTTATATTTTTGTTTTGCACTGTTGATGTTTAGGAATTGCACACCGTGTACTCGTTCGTTCTAGTCGAAGCGTCGTTAATTCCTCTCGGAGTGGTTCTCCAGGCCCTAGAACCCAAGCGAACATCCATAAAACTCCAATACCGTATCGCCCCGGATATAACCGCAGGCCTATTAAAAGCGCATGCGCTTATATCTGGAGCAATGCGCTTATGGCCGATCCTCAATTAGAAGCGCACCCCCTGTAAAAACTTTACTTATTATAAGCGCATGCATAATTGTATTCTAATTTCCGTAACGATTTTCCGCTTTGCAGCGAGTCTACCCTACAACCCTCACGAGAAGCGGCCGACAAAATCGCCCGTTCTGTTCTGCCTCGCGAAAAACCGAAACGGGCGCGAAGCTGAAGCTGACTGACAGCACGAACGTGGGGGGGGGGGGGGGCTCGACCGTGCTCCTGCCCTGCGAGCGACCGGATTCTGTGCCTCGCAACAGTGGGCCGGTGACACATTCCCCTACGGAATGACGTGTCCTCGCCCACCCTTGCGCTGGCAGACAATCGCGCGATTCTGATCTATGACGCGCTAACATTTCGATTCGACTGGAATTGCAAGACTAAGATGCACATTTTGGTGCGCTTAAAATATATTTCTACATTTGTCATTATATAAGCGCATGCGCTTATGCCCGTGACTCATTTATAAGCGCACCCCCCTATAAATCAATGTTTTATTATAAGCGCAGGTGCGCTTCAATCCGGGGTGATACGGTAGCACTTCATCGCAATACCACAGCTAGTTGACGACGATCATCCTCTCCTTCTAGGCTTGATTGGCTCCCGTTTCTTCTTTGTCAAATCGCAAGATGGAGGTCTGTCCTGCTAGGGTAGACGGAATGGCAGCAATTCACGCTCTGGTCATCGAAGCCATTAGGTGCTGTCAATCTGCATCTATGGATGAAGCAGATTCCAGATGCATCACTATCTCGCTAGCCAAAGTTGCTGGTGTCAATTCAGATCATGTCGAAATCTCAAAAGGAACATTTGCGATAAATCACACTGGAGAGCCTGGCAGACAAAAATCCCGCAACCTTCATCAATCGTCTAGTTTCGTCTACTTCCTTCCTGCAGACGGCTGGGGCACTTGGATTCCTACATATTGCATGGGGTGAGAGCTCTACAAGACTCTGTTGGCCATTCGGAACCTTCCAAAGCTGTAGCCAATCTGTTGCCTGGGAGAAATCTAAAACATCAAGTTTCCCGATTTTCCCTTAGGTGACGCCGTTGCTTTGATGACCACAGGTAAGTGTGTTGTGGGCATTTTCTGGTTTGAATTAATGGAAACATTCATGTGGGTAATTGCCACAGGAATTCATGACACCGACGTCAAGAGGTATGTTGTAGACATTCCAGCTGAAAGACAACCGACATGGTCTCAGCTCCCCTCGATTGGGAAGCCAAAGGGAGCCTACTTTTCTGGCTTTGAGGTTTCTTTCGATTTTCATGGAGTCGTAGAGGATGCTGCGTTGAGACTCTACGAGCTCGTCGGGATGGTACGTACACATTGTTATGCCACAAGTCGCGAACGCAATGATTTATACTGAAATTACACCTTGTTTGTGTTCAGGTTACCGTACTTCAATCACAGATACTCCAAATTTGTTTGCTGGTTCTTTACTTGCGGCGTGAATTACCACCTCATCTTCCATGACACGTTTCAGACTTATAGGAGCCTTACCTTGGGAAATTTTTGCGACGAGTTTCTGACGTTGATCCATGACTTACCATCCGCACCAAAAGAGGCCGCCCTTGGAGTGATACAGTTATCATATGCTCAAGATGACGAAGCCTTTGAGCTCAGCTGATTAGAAAGGTTCAAGGCAGGCGTGATCCAGTCCTTGTTATTAGAACGTGAACACAGGCCAGAAATGAAGCAATAGCAGCCAAAGGCTGCTCCAAGCGTCACATCAGGAAGCACGACTCACCGGTCAGGGAATCTGGACTGCATTGTTTCGTACGAAGAAGGGTCAGAGGACGACATCACTGTGAGTGAAAACGAGATTACGGACCATGATCCTGTTTCTCCCTTTTTTTGAAGCATTAATAAGTGCTTTTTCACTTCCAGGTGAAGGTGTTCAAAGACTGGTCGCCCCTTCTTGATGGATCCAGTCTCATAATGGCCTTATCTGAAAGCAAGCTCTGGAGCGGTTTCGGAATCAGCATTGCGGATGCTTCAATTCACAGTTTTTACGGTATTCTCCACACCGAGAAGAGTTATATGGAGAAGCACCTCAATATATGTCTCCATCTGCACAGCCAACATATCTCATCGTATGTGTCTTGCTCCCATTCACCCATGCCTCTTGCTTTCTCACCTTTCCACGCGCATATCTCTTGCATAGCCAGCATATCTCATATGCCCTGCCAACATATCTCATCCACGCGCTCAATTTCCCCACATATTGTGTTTGCTCGTTTTGGTTGACGTGCACTGCATTCTACGGTATGCTGTACCCAACCCCCTCTTGAGGACTTCCCCTAAAGCAGCGCAAAATCTGAGACTGTTCCGCGGAAGATCCTTTTGAAGCTTGTCAAGAATGCAGTTATCGCATCCTTGCAACAGCTCAAGACTCAGCTTCCTGGAGAGTTTTCATCCGTACATCAAGCGAAAGTAAACAAGCAATGCCATGCACACTATCTTGTGGTCGAGTGGAGCAGTGGATGATGAGTTTGTCTTTCAGGTTGGCAATTGCTTGCCAGATCTGGCAACCAGCCTTGCAGCCATAGTGGCGGATTCCAGCAATCCACATTTTCAAGAAGAGTGCTCCAAGATATTGGGTGTTGAGGACATCAAAGATGTAGAAGCTGCCATCTTGGAAAGGCTGAGTAAGATTTCACTGACATCTCAAGATAGGGGGAAATAACTGCCTTGCAAGCGTCAACTGAAGATTGTAGACGAGATGGATGTGGATTGGACGCTTGATTGATTAATGAAAGCCATTCATGCACCACATTGCATTTGGGGAAGAAAATTTAGCAGCATTTGGATGTCAAGCTCTTGGAACGTCTTAGTGGTACACGAAAATGTACGGTTGAACAGGGAGAACGGTAACGAGGATTACTTTTCAAGGCCACGAAGGCATATTTGGCTGACGCGGTAACCCGGAATCACACGTCGTTCAGCCCAATAAAGCGCTCTTGAGGGACCGGCCCAGCCCATGCTATCAGCAGATCACCTTCCTTCCCTCACTCCGGCGTCGATCTCATTGGCAGCATGTCACAGTCTGCCTTTGGATCTGCGAATGTGGATCCATGTCACCTGTCATGAAATCAAGCTGGCAGTTTTCAGATGGGCATTTGCGGCGCGCAAGCTCGGGCAATCAGCGGAGGGGTCTGCCAGAGAGGCAAGAAGTGTGGCGCAGTGTGGGGGAATTGAGCGCGTGGATGCGGCGGAGCTTCGCATGACAGGGCGGAAAGGTGTTGAGAAACCGAGGCGGGCTCGGGCAGTCAGAGCCAAGACTTAGCTGATTGCTGCCATTCAGTGTTCATTCATTGCGGTTTCGCCCAGAGTTTCGAAAACTAGCCGGTAACCACTTTAATGGCAACACAGTTTACCCGTGGCGAAGATCGCTGCTATCGCAAAATTGCTGCGCTTTCTCGCAGTGTGAAACCCAGGTTGCACGCGAACACAAGACGGGCAGCATGTGAGCTTCCATGGAGCTTCCCCCCCTCCACCCACACCACACCAATTTCTGTCCCCCGAGAGCCATTTTGTTAGTGACTGTGAAAGATCGGTGAAAGATCGGTGTGCACAATGTACAATGACTTCGCCATTTCGTAAAATCTATGTATCCCGTTTTCGTTTAGACTGTCGCGAAGATCGTGCACACGCATATTGTCGAGATCGGATGGCTCAAACTGCCACATCGATCGTGCGATTGGCAGCGCGGGAATTGAAATCGCGCCACCAGTGGCAGCCACGATCGATCGCCGTCGCATACTGCCGGCTACTTTCGATGTGGTAACAGGGCGACATCACAATTTGTCGGTGGGCGACGCGGAATCCAGCCTGAAATCGAACCCATCAGAAACCAACATGCGAAAATGCACGACACGCCAGCGAAGCACGGCTCCTGCGCTACCACGCGTGTATCGCTGTTGGCATGGAGGTCCCCAACTTGCAAATCCGGTCGTGTCCCAATTGGCTCGGTGAAGCAGCCAACACTGCTCATGCAGATTGATATCCGTTTTTCGTACGCGATGCATACAATTTCGGTGTTTGGAGCCGATCCTCCCCCGGTGTTTGCAGCATACCGTAGCTCAGTTCCTCATCCGTTCGTAATTCCAGCTTCAGTATGTGTTCGTCTCTCCGCGCGTCTGGTCAGAATCAGCTTTTGTGCGAGCAACAATTTTGAGAGGCCTTTTTCTCCTCGACGTCTTACAAAAGCTCCCTCTGAACTCCAAGCTCTCGTTTTCAGATTTCGCAGTCCAAAGCTTTTGCAATCGAATTTGAATTCCACAATTTGGCTCCACAGGACCTCATTCACTAATCACCATGAACTGCCAGACGTCTCCGTCGTCTATTTTCTCCCCGTCATCTCTTTCCTCCGCAGTTATCGCTCCCTCCTCCTCTCTCGTCTGTTCATCACTACCCCGTTCCTCTCCCCTTCCGCGTCAGCTCAATTCTCACCTCAATTCGTCCACGACCCGCTCCCATGCCGCTTCTTCCGTGTTTCGCGGCGCGTTTGACGGCCTGCACCGTCAGAGGCTCCTCGGAAATTCCTCCTCGTTCTATCTTTCTCACTCGGCCGCCTTCCATGAAGCTTCCGACCGTCAAATTCAGACTCCATCGCTCTCTGTGAGCCCCACTGGCGAGGCCGCTTCTTGCGGCCGGCACGCGGTCGTGATAGCGGTATTCGAGCGTTTTACGGAGCGGGCGATTAAAGCCGTGATGATGGCTCAGGCGGAAGCTAAGGTGCTCGGGCGGAAAAAGGTCGCGACGGAGCAGCTTCTACTCGGCCTAATTGCGGAGAATTTCGCGAGTGATGGGAAACCTGGCGGTTATCTCGGCTTGGGGATGACTATCCGCAACCCGCGAGGTGCCGTCGGCGAGTTGATTTGAGACGGCCGACTACCAGCCGCAGGGGGTCTGTCGGCCGGCAAACCTGCGTCGGAGGTGCCGTTTTCGAGCGCCAGCAAGCGGGTGTTTGAGAAGGCGATTGAATCGCGGAAGCATCGTCACAACTTCATCGCGACAGAGCATCTGGTGTTGGCACTGGTGCAAGTGGAACAGGAAGGAGCGACACTGGTGATTGCGAGGTGAGAAAAGTTGAGATGCGTTGACTTTGGAGTGAACATGTGAGTGTTAGTGGCTGATGTGTTCCAACACGCGCATCTGGCGGTCGCGCTGGTGCGTATAGAACAGGAGGGGGCGGCGCTGGTGATGGCGAGGTGAGAGGTTTGACTTTGGAGTAAAGAGGTGAGTACTAGTGAGTTATTTGTTCCAACACCGGCATCTGCGGTGTCAAGCTGGTGCTTGTAGAACAGGAGGGAGCGACGCTGGTGATGGAGAGGTGAGGGGTTTCTAAAGACGACACATGGTGAAACTTGCAAACATAACATGGTACGTATCATCATTTGCAAGTAGAAAGCAAATTTCCATGTCTTAGGGGAAGCATCGTCATAACTTCATCGCGCTAGTGCAGGTGGAACATGAGGGAGCGGCGCTGGTGATGGCGAGGTGAGAAGAGAGTTGAGAAGCACGACCGTAAGATGGTATTCGGTGCACGCGTGAGGAATAGGAGGTGATGTGCTGGTGCAGGTGGAACATGAGGATGCGGCGCTGGTGATGGCGAGGTGAGAGAAGGGCCCCTTGCACCGGGTGTCAAACTGTAGGGGGGTAAACATCAGCTACAGCAGCGGCTTGCAACGTTGCGTACAACATTGCCAGCAGCAGGCAGCGGTATTGACTCACTCGCTCATCTGAATTACTCTCTCTGTCTGTCCCTCTCCTCTGTTGACTGCGTTGACTGTGTTGCCTGCGTTGACTGACTGACAGCCTGAGAGTGCAGCCGCATCGCCTGCACGAGGCAGCGTTGGCGCGCTCAAGGGCGAGTTGGACCGGGACGGGCGCTCCTCTAACCCCCTCGCTCTCCCCTGTTGACTGCGTTGACTCTCTGTGTTGACTGCGTTGACTTTGTTGACTGGCAGCCTGGGAGTGCAGCAACACCACCTGCACGAGACAGCGCTGGCGCGGCTCAAAGGCGAGCTGGACCAGGACGGGCGCTCTCCTCTTCCTTGTTGACTGCATTGACTGCGTTGACTTTCAGCTTGGGAGTGCTGCAGCATCGCCTGCATGAAGCAGCATTGGTGCGCCTCAAGGGCGAGCTGGACCGGGATGGCCGCTCCTCGGAATTGATCACCAACCCCTCCTCGCGTCCCTCCACCAGCCCCACCAGTCCTAGTAGCAGCAAGAGTCCCAGTTCGCCAGTCCGCAAGGGGCGTGGGAAGAAAGGTGAGAAGGGAAAACCGATTTCCTGTGTTGCGCGGACTTTAAGTGCGAATTCGGCGAAATAGAAACGAGATAAAGTAACGAAGCAACAGGAACGATATCAACTAGCAGATTCATGTAACCAATTTGTATCCGATTCTAAATAGAACCATAATGAAAGCATTGCTCGTTGGAGCGGCTCAGGTGCAGAATTTTTGTGGCACCCAAAATAAAGGCGTCTAAAAAATGGTATCGCTTAAGCCCGGCCTTCTGTGATCCGTTTTCCCCTCCTCAGCTTCCATATTCCTTCCCCCACTGCTCTGCAGTAGCGGTGCAAAGTGCTATAACGCAGTTCTTCTGCACATTAGGAAGGCCACGACAGTGCAAAGTGGTGGAAAACTAGGAACATTTGTCGCTGAAAGGATGTGAAGAATGTAGGAACATTTTGTTAATGTTTTCTCTCTCTTCCTCCCAAGCTATTCGCACCCACAAATTCCCCCACACGCAGCAGCGCAGCAGATCTCACCGATCTCACTGGCAGTGATGGAAGGAGAAGAGCTTAGGAAATTCTCATTTCTTTCCTTCCATTTCCTCCCGTTCCCACATCTCTCCACTTCCCGCACCAAGCAGCAGCGCAGCAGAGCGCGTTGGAGCAGTTATGCACGGATCTAACAGCCATGGTTGCGCAAGGGGAGATCGACCCGTCCCACCCCACGCTACCCCAACCCACCCTACCGCATTCCTCCCTATCCCACCACCAACCAGCAGCGCAGCAGAGCGCGTTGGAGCAGTTCTGCACGGATCTAACGGCCATGGCGGTGCAGGGAGGGATCGACCCCGTGATTGGCCGAGAGGAGGAGGTCGCCAGGGTGGTGCATGTGCGTGTTTGTGCTGAGATGTGATTGTAACAGGGATAGTGGACGAGTGGGGGCATCTAACGGCCATGGCGGTGCAGGGAGGGATCGACCCGGTGGTTGGCCGAGAGGCGGAGGTTGTCAGTTTGGTGCAGGTGGGTGAAGTGCGTGATTGTGTGGAATTATGACTGGTTGCATGACTCTATGGAGCATCTAACGGTTATTTTGGTGCAGGGAGATATCGACCCGGTGATTGGTCGAGAGCAGGAGGTTGTGCGGGTGGTGTAGGTGCGTGCTTGTGCTGAGATATGACTGTAATGGGGATAATGGGTGTGTACACCGAACAAGCATTGCGGTGCAGGGTGAGATTGCTCCTGAGTTGGCTAGCACTTATGCATTCCCCAAAAACCTCTCTTTTCTATATGCATTGGCTCTCTCGGAAGTCTTTCGATTCCGCTATTCAGCATGCCATAAAAGGTTGCAGAATGAGTGACCAGTATCATTCACTGTTGGTGCATCGCGACTGCTATTCACACTGTGAAGTGTCGTTTGAAGAGCAGTGGTGATGCATCAGCCGTGAATGCGAATTTGAAGGACTCTCGAGAAAGCCAACGTATATGGAGGAGAAGGGCTCTCAAAGAACACGCAAGGGTGTTAGCTAACTCCTAAACACAAATCTAGTATCGTTGGTGGCCTTGGGAGTTGGCAGCATTCAGTATTCGACAGCCTAGGGCTAAATCCACTCTCGCTCTCGCACCAAGAACAACCCGCTGCTGCTGACAGAGCCAGGGGTGGGCGGAGGAGACGTCTGCGTTCCTGATTCAACACTTTGTCCCTCCCTTTCCTCCTCACCACTCCTTACTCCCCCCACTCCCACTTCTCCCCTTCCCCTCGCCCCCAGATCCCCGCTCATCGAACCAGCAACAACCAGCTGCTGCTAGGCGAACCAGGGGTGGGCAAGACGGCTTTAGGTAGCCCTCTTAATAGCCTAATTATTTTCCCTCTTTCTACTCTCTCCCACCTGTCCCCTTCTCCTCCTCCTCAGATCCTGCACATCGCACGTGAAACAACCCTCTGAACCAATCGTTTGCTACTCGTCACCCTCTCCCTCTCACCTCTCCCCTTCTCCTCCCCCTCAGATCCTTGCTCGTCGCACCGTGAACAACCCTCTGCTGCTGGGCGAGCCAGGGGGGGCAAGACGGCCATCTCCCCCTTTTCTATGCCTCTGTTCGTCCTTTCGTCCCCTCTCTCACTCTTCCATTCTCCCGCCCTCCTCTCTTGCTCCTTACCCCCTCAGATCCAAGCTCGTCGCACCAAGAACAACCCGTTGCTGCTGGGGGAGCTGGGGGTGGGCAAGACGGCCATGTATAGCCCTCTTTTCACGCAACCGCTTCCCCCTGTTTCTCACCTCCCAATTCTCGCGTTTTCTCCTTCTCCTCCCCCTCAGATCCTCGCTCGTTGCACCAAGAATAACCCTCTGCTGCTGGGCGAGCCAGGGGTGGGCAAGACGGCCATAGCGGAGGGTTTGGCGCTGCGCATCGCCGAAAACGATGTGCCACCGTTCCTGCAGGTGAGAGGTCATGTTGCTGGGGTGGAAATGGGGTAGCAGGGGCACGTTGACAGCAGACGGCCATAGCGGAGGGTTTGGCGCTGCTCATTGCCGAGAATGATGTGCCGCCGTTCCTAGGTAAGTGCCTCACAAGGGTGGCTGCAGTAGGGGTCAGTTGGGTGGTGTTGTTGCTGTTGAGTGGGTTTCTGCCAGTACAAGGCTTGGCAAATATCATGGGGGGTGGCCAGGACGGCCATTGCAGAGGGGCTGGCGCTGAGGATCGCCGAGAACGACGTGCCACCGTTCCTACAGGTGAGCGGTGTTGTGCTGCGGAGGGAATGGGTTGACAGGGGGACAGGGTGCATAGCAAAGGGGTTGGGCAAGGCAGCCGTAGGGGAGGGCTTGGCGGTCAGGATTGCCAAGAACGATGCACCGTGAAGTTAGTTCTGCAGGTGAGCGTTTTGTGAGCTGGGTTTCTTGAAGGGTCGCTTCAAGTGTGCGGTGGCAGCAATGGAGAGGTGGTGATAGGCAAGGTGTCCATTGCATCACTCCTCCACCAGAGCTTCACGGTGGCCGTAAGTGTGCTCTCCATTGTGGGATGGTTGGTTTAAACCGTCTCTCTTTCTCCCCTTCCCCCATTCCTTCCACCAGGGAAAGCGCCTTCGGTCGCTGGACATGGGGAGGGTGATGGCAGGAGCAAAGGAGAGGGGGGAACTGGAACTCAGAGTGACTATGCTGGTGGCAGAGGCGGTGGCAGCAGCGGGGGAGGTGATCCTGTTGATAGATGAGGTGCATACGATGGTGGGAGCTGGCGCCGTGGGGAGGGGACGGGACGGCGGAGGATCGGGATTGGACATCTCGAATCTGCTCAAGCCTGCCTTATCACGCGGCCAGATTCAGGTGAGAGTCATCTGCTGAGTGCTGTTGAGAGAGGTTTAGTCCAGTGGTGCTGGGTAACAGAGGTGGTGATATTCCTGGTGATAGACGAGGTGCATGCGATGGTGGGGGCTGGTGCCCGTGGGGAGGGGGCGAGATGGCGGGGGATCGGGATTGGATATTTCGAACCTGCTCAAGCCTGCTTTGTACAGGGGGCAGATTCAGGTGAGGCAGAGGGCGGTTGAGTGCGGTTTAGTGTGTTTGTGCTGGGTAATAGAGGTGGTGCTGATGATAGAAGAGGTGCACACGATGGTGGGAGCTGGAGCCGCAGGAAGGGGACGAGGCAGGTGGGGGTTCAGCTTCAGACATCTCTAATCTGCTCAAAACTGCTTTGACTAGGGGAAAGATTCAGGTATGGATGGCAAGAGTGCCGATTCCAGTAGAGTGCGATGATTATGTAAGATATACACAACACCATCTGTGCTAGATCTTCTGTTTTTATGTCACGAGGGGAACGGTGCTCACTCATCAGTGCATCGCCACCACAACCACCAATGAGTTTTGCGAGCACCTCGAGAAGGACAAGGCTCACACCATACCATAGCCTCGCATCTGTCCAGTGCCTTATGCCTTCCCATTCCTCTCTCCTCTCCTCTTCCTTCTTCCCCCCCCCCCCCCCCCCCCCTCCATATCAGTGCATCTCCACCACAACCACCAATGAGTTTTGCGAGCACCTCGAGAAGGACAAGGCTCTGGCTTCGCATCTAATGCACTCCCACTTGCCCCCACCCTCCCCTCCCGCCCGCTTACACTCTAACCCCTCGCTTACACACCTTCTCCTCCTCAACCACCAGTGCATTGCCACAACCACCACCAATGAGTTTTGCAAGCATCTGGAGAAGGACAAGGCTCTGGCTAGGCGCTTTCAGCCAGTCACTGTGGACGAGCCTTCAGAGGTGAGTGGGAGGCTGCTATAACGCAGATGTGGTATGGGTGATTCTTTATTGGGGAGAAAGTCAATGCGCTGGCCAGGCGCTTTCAACCCGTGACTCTGGACGAGCCCTCAGAGGTGAGTGGGATGCTCTTTTATCGTGTGCGGAGAGGGCCAAAGCATTGGCCATGCGGTTTCAGCCGCTGACTGTGGAAGAGCCATCAGGGGTGAGTGGGTGGCTGTGTTTTGAGTCGACTCAAAAGTTTCAGCCGCTGACCATGGAAGAGCCATCAGGGGTGAGTGGGTGGCTGTGTTTTGATTCGACTCAAAAGTTTCAGCCGCTGACCATGGAAGAGCCATCAGGGGTGAGTGGGTGGCTGTGTTTTGAGTCGACTCAAAAGTTTCAGCCGCTGACCATGGAAGAGCCATCAGGGGTGAGTGGGTGGCTGTATTTTGAGTCGACTCAAAAGTTTCAGCCGCTGACTATGGAAGAGCCATCAGGGGTGAGTGGGTGGCTGTGTTTTTGTACCGGGGGTGGGGTGGATTCGACATGGGAAGAAGGACAAGGCTTTGGCCCGAAACTTTTGCAAGTGTGCTCTCACCAATTCCGCCCTGGAAGCTGTATGAGACGTCTCAAAACTAGCTGTATGAGACGTCTCAAAAACTCCTTTTTATCAGTGACAAAGCCGAAAACCTTATGGAAGCCGCTCCAGTTTTTATCAGTTTTTTTCTCCAGATTCCCCCCTCCCAGGAAGCAGCCATCCTCCAGAGCCTGAGGCCCGCCACAAGTGCACTCTCACCGACTCTGCCCTGGCAGCAGCCGTTTCCCCCTCCTCTCATGTCTTGTTCCTCTCTCTCCTTCCCCCCTTTCCTTTTCCCGCCTCCCAAGAAGCCGTTCTAGCCATACTTCCAAGGTCTGCGCCACCTGTACGAGGCACACCACAAGTGTGCTCTCACTTCATGGCAGCTGTGGCCCTCTCCCCTCTCCCCTCTCCCCTCTCCCCTCTCCTCGCGTCTCATCCCCAATCGCTGCCTGCCCGAGGGGACATTGACCTGATAGACGAGGCGGCGAGCAGGAGCAGGGTGGAGGGCAGCCGGGGGAGGGGAGCAGGCGACTCACAGCACCACCCCTTGTCCCTTATTCTCCTCCGCTCCCTCCCTAAACCCTGAAATCCTCTCAGGAGGCGGCTCTGGCGATTCTGCACGGCCTGAGGCACCTATACGAGGCACACCACAAGTGCACTCTCACGGACGATACTCTGGCAGCAGCAGTCACCCTCTATGCTTGTTTCATCCCCGATCGCTGCCTGCCCGACAGGGCAATTGACCTGATAGACAAGGCGGCTAGTAGGAGCAGGGTGGAGGGCAGCAAGGGGAGGAGGCGGCGGGCGAGTGGGGTGCTGGAGAGGGGTGCAGAGGAGTACTGGCGGGAGATTCGCATGGCGCAGGCTGCACACGAAGCGGTGAGAATGGGTGCAATGCGGTGAGGGTGGTTCTACTGCGGTGCGGTGGAAATGGGTTCAATGCGTTTAGATCGGGTTGTTCTTGGAGGTAAGTGCCTCAAAGCGAGAAGCCTGTAGGAGCAAGGTGGAGGGTAGCAAGGGGAGGAGGAGGAGGGTGAGTGGGGTGCTGGAGAGGGGTGCAGAGGAGTACTGGCGGGAGATCAGGATGGCGCAGGCTGCACATGAAGCGGTGAGAATGGGTGCAGTGCGGTGAAGGTGGTTCCAATGCGGTGAGGATTGGTTTGATACAGTTTTGTGTGTGGTGAGACAAGGTTCTCGAGGGGTTAAATACTGAGGTTGTAGTGTGGCAGTAGAGCAGCGGCAGGGGAGGCGGCCTGCCGCAAAGCTCTCACCTCATTCACCTCTTTCCTCTCCCTCTGCTGTGTTCCCTCACTCCTCATCTGTTACTCCTCATCTGTTCCCTTGCTCCCCTTTTCCCTTGCTCTTTTGCTCCTTCGTTCACTTGCTCCCGTATTCCACGTGTTCTGTTTCCTCTCATCTCCAGGCCTGTGCCTGCTGGAATCCCTCAGACTTCTCTCTTCTTTTCTCTGATTGTGTCTCCCTTTGCAGGCACATGTGCACCAGAATCCCTTCACCTCGCTCACCTCCTTCCTCTCTCTAGACTCACACTCACCCCAATACCACCACCGCTGCTGACGCCGCTGGTGCTTCTCACCCCCCCTTCTTCCCCCAACCCCTTGTTTCTTTCTCTCTTCCACAGGCATATGCTCGCCAGAATCCCTTCACCTCGCTCACCTCATTCCTCTCTCAAGACCACGTTCATGCCGACACCACCACCGCTGCTGATGCCGCTGCTGCTGCTGGTCGCTCCAAGAGTGGCATCACTGGCAGTGACAAGGAGGACGGGTGAGATTCACCACTCACACACACGCCAATATCACCGTATGAATCACACACTTAACACTCCCATTAATACCACCACCACCGCTGCTGCTGCTGGTCGCTCCAAGAGTGGCATCACTGGCAGTGACAAGGACGACAGGTGAGTGAAACCTACCTCTTACCGTCACGCATAATCATACTCATAATGACACCACCATCTGAGTCTCACAAACAATCACACCCACGCTGACACCACCACGGCTGCTGACGCCGCCGCTGCTGCTGGTCGGTCCAAGAGTGGCATCACTGGCAGCGACAAGGAGGATAGGTGAGATTTAGCGTCGTCTGACTCTCACAAACAACCACACCCGCATTAACACCACTACAGCTGCTGACGCCGCCGCTGCTGCTGGTCGTTCCAAGAGTGGAATTACCGGTAGTGACAAGGACGACAGGTGAGATTCGCCACTCCTCGATCGTCTTACTCTCACACACGCACGCACACCCACACTGACAGCCTCGTGTCACTCTCACTCACTCAACACTCCCATCGACACCACCACCGCTGCTGACGCCGCCGCTGCTGGGGCGTTCCAAGAGTGGCATCACTGGCAGTGACAAGGACGACAGGTGAGGTCTGCCACTCTCCCATTGTCGGACTCACACACTTCAACTCTCATATCAACAGCACCACGGCTGCTGACGCCGCTACCGCTGCTGGTCAGTCCAGGAGTGGCATCACTGGCAGTGACAAGGACGACAGGTGAGATTCGCCACTCCTCGATCGTCTTAGTCTCACACACACTCGCACCAACGTCAACACCATTGTCTGTCACCGTCCTCTGGCACATTGATCCTCTCCAGCCACCTTTTTCTTTTTTTTGGCTGATTTTGAAATTTCTCAGAAATTGTACCTCAAAAATTCATTTGGCACATTAATCCTCTCCAGCCGCCCATCCTTTTCCCTCAATCCTCTTCTTTCGTCCTCTACCCCTTCCACCAGCCCCACGGAGATCACAGCAGAGCACATAGCAGCAGTGGCCGCCCACTGGACCGGTATCCCCCTGCAGCAGCTCTCCCTCTCGGACCAGCAGCACCTGGCAGGGCTGGAAGAGGCACTAGAGACGCGCGTGGTGGGGCAGGGGGCAGCTGTGCGGGTGATAGCACGGGCGGTGCAGCGAGCGAGGGTGGGGTTGAAGGGGGAGGGAAGGCCGGTGGCGGCTCTGCTGTTCTCGGGACCTACCGGGGTGGGGAAAACGGAGTTGTGCAAGGCACTGGCAGCTCACTACTATGGATCGGTGAGTTTGATTCACTGGTAATCTTGGAGTCAAGCTGATTGGATGCCATGCTGTCAGCAAGCTGATTGGATGCCATGCTGTCAGCAAGCTGATTGGATATATGCATCATTCCCATCGAATGCATCGGGTGGGTGGATCGCAGCTTCCCCCCTCATTCCCCTCCATCCTGCATTGCCCTCGTTCATCCTCTGCCTTCCAGGAAGATTCCATGATTCGTCTAGACATGAGTGAGTACATGGAGCGCCACGCTGTCAGCAAGCTGATTGGAGCGCCGCCCGGCTACGTGGGGTACGGCGAGGGCGGCAAGCTCACGGAGGCCGTCCGCAGGCGGCCGTTTTGTCTTATTCTCCTGGACGAGATCGAGAAGGCACACCCGGACGTCTTTAATCTCCTGCTGCAGATTTTCGAAGACGGGCGGCTTACTGACTCGCAGGTGGGTGTTGTTTGTCTGTTGTGAGGTGGGGGTAGCTTGAAATGTTGATGTATTTTATCTACTGTGTCCGGCTGGTGCTTTTGATACCCTCAAAACTGCTGATACCCAAGCCTCTATACCACTGCATCGGTTTTGTCTGATGCTCCCACCCTCTGATCCTCTGGTTTCCTCTGATGCTCCCAAGTCTCTATTCATCACCCACCCACCCACCCACCCCGCCCTTTACCTCTTCACCCTCCTCTCCTTTCTTCCTTTCTGACCAATCCAGGGCCGCCACGTGTCGTTCAAAAACGCCCTGATAGTCCTGACGTCCAATGTGGGCTCTCAGGCCATTGCAAGGGGGGGCACCCACCGAATCGGCTTCCTCACTCCAGGAGAATATGCATCTGCTGATGGGAATAGGGGGAGAGATGGGGGCAGAGAGGGACGGGCGGATGCGGGGCGGTATGCGGCGATGAAGGAGGTGGTGATGGAGGAGTTGAAGGCGCATTTTCGACCGGAGCTCATGAATCGGATTGATGAGGTGGTGGTGTTCCGAGCACTGGAGAGGGAACAGGTGAGCAAGTGTGTGTGCGTGTGCGTTTGCGTGTTCGTGATCGTCTCGGAAGGTGGATGCAGGGCAGTATGCGGCAATGAGGGAGGTGGTGATGGAGGAGTTGAAGGTGCACTTCCGGCCTGAGCTGATGAATCGCATTGACGTGGTGGTGGTGTTCCGAGCATTGGAGAGGGGAACAGGTGAGACTGGCGCGAGAACAGGTGGGTAAGAGAGGTGGGAGCAGGTGCACGTGTGTATGTCTCAGCACAAGTGGGGCGGTATGCAGCGATGAGGGATGTGGTGGTGGAGGAGTTGAAGATGCACTTCCGGCCAGCGCTCATGAATTGGATTGATGAGGTGGTGGTGTTCCGAGCATTGGAGAGGGGAACAGGTGAGCAAGAAATCAGGTAAGGGGGGGTGAGCAGGTGAGGTGAGACAGGGAGGTGGTGATGGAGGAGTTGAAGGCGCACTTCCGTCCAGAGCTGATGAACCGGATCGATGAGGTGGTGGTGTTCTGAGCATTGGGGAAAGTGCAGGTGAGCGTTTGGGGGGGGGGGGGGTTGGGGAAAGGTGTGTGCGTGTGTACGTCTGAGAAGGCAGTATGCAGCGATGAGGGAGATGGTGGTGGAGGAGTTGAAGGGGCATTTCCGGCCAGAGCTGATAAACCGGATTGATGAGGTGGTGGTGTTCCGAACTTTTGAGAAGGAACAGGTGAGCATGCAAGAAGGTGAGAGAAAGTGTGTCTGTGTGTGTACGGCTCAAAAAGGTGGATGCGGGGCGGTAAGCGGCAATGAGGGAGGTGGTGATGGAGGAGTTGAAGGCGCACTTCCCGGTCGGAGCTGATGAATCGGATTGATGAGGTGTTGGTGCTCCGAGCATTGGAGAGAGAACAGGTGAGAACAGGGAAAGGGCATGTGATGCAGTTGAGTGGGGAGAGGAGTTGAAGGGGCGTTTCCGGCCAGATCTGATGAACCGGATTGACGCGGTGGTGGTCCGAGCATTGGCGAAAGAACAGCTGAGCAAGGGAGAAGTGTGTGGGTGTAAAGGGGAATGCAAGGTTGATGAACCGGATCGACGAGGTGGTGGTGTTCAGAATTCGGGAGAGGGAACAGGTGAGAGAGGGATTGGGGTGGGCATGCGGGAGAGGGAACAGGTGTGCTTGCATGTGGGAGAGCAGATGAGACAGGGAGGTGGTGATGGGGGAGTTGAAGACGCATTTTTGGCCTGAGCTGATGAACAGGATCGACAAGGTGGTGGTATTTCGAGCCCTTGCAATGGAACAGGTGAGCATGGTGTGAGAGGGAACAGGTGAGTGTGAGGGAGAGAGAGAACAGAGGAGTGTGTGCAAATGAGGGAGGTGGTGGTGGAAGAGTCGAAGACGCACTTTTGGCCAGAGCTGATGATCCGAATCGACGAGGTGGTGGTGTTCCGAGCTCTAGAGAGGGTGGTAAGAGCAGTAAGGAATGTGAACCAGGTATCTCCATGGCTGAAGCGTGCTTCACAACAAATGCGTTATTCACGCATGCACACCCTTGTTGTGCATAACGCTTCAGTCTTGGAGAATCATGGTTTCACATTCCTTACTGCTCTTACCACCCTCTATGCCACCTTCCCCATAAGCCATCCGCACCTGTCCAGCCTCCTCCACCTCCCACGTCTCGCCCATCTTCCCACCCTCACCCTCACCATAACCATCTCCCCCACCTTCCCTCCAGATCCGAGTGATTGCCAGCACGATGGTGAAAGAGACGGCTGACCGATAGACCAAGAGGTGATTCAACCTGGAAGTGTCAGAGCACTCGTGCAGCAAACCCCTCTACCCTGTTTACATTTGCTTCCTTGTCCCTCCACTTGTCCCCCTTCCCTCCAGATCCGAGTGATTGCTAACATGATGGTCAAGGAGTCGGCTGATAGACTTGCACAGAAGGGAATCAACCTGGAAATTTCTGAAGTACTCATGGAGCGGATTTGTGAGGAGGGGTACGACAGGGCGTATGGGGCGCGTCCACTGCGATGTGCCGTCACGCGATTGGTCGACGATCCAATCAGCGAGGCTGTGCTGGCAGCGGGGGAAAGCAGCAGCAACACCAGGCACCGCCACCGCCGCGTCAGCAGCAGTGACCTGTCGGAATCTCTACCATCCGTTCCTTCGGTGCTGCTCCCTGCGATCGCAGCTGACGCCAAAGAAGATGACACCAGCGCACCCCTGGGTGACGTCAGCGGGGTCAGGGAGGGCGCGTTCACAGCTGGCGACACAGCACTGGTGGATGTCGGGGAGGATGGGGAGCCGGTGGTGATCCGCCTGCCTCGCCCTGACGTGTGTGAGATGGGTCTGTGCCTTCCGTTTCTCAAGCTCCCTGCTGCCGCTGCTCCCACTCTGAGGGATGCTTTCGGTCGCTTTTTGGAACGGAAATGGATGTGACGGCTTAGTCAACAACCTGCTATTTGTGCTCATCGTCGCACCAGCCGGAATTGCCTTACGAGTCAGCGGCAATACGTGCTTTGCCTAAATTTCCCTCTAGAATGTTGGCTCATGTGATGCTTCTTCTGCACGAGAGTGGGTTCGATATTTGGGTTTGGGATTGAGGAAAGAAAAGCCTTGGGTATATGGGCATGTGATTGCATCCGCTACGGATTCGCGTGAAAAATAGGTGTTGCACATTTGTAGAGGTGGTCGACAATTTGTATTCAGATCCGAAATTGTGCTTTCACATTCGTCTAGATGAATTTCATTATCATCTATCGCGTGGTATGTGTACAAGTTAGCTGGTGGAACATGTTTGCATTCTCATTATCATGTTTGCAAAATAAAATCATATATTTGTTTTGCAATTAAAGCTTAGAAGTAAGACAAGGTGTGCTAGAGACGGTCAATTTTACTTAAAAAAAGAGCAAACAAAAACAATATGTACACACTCAATCCAACAATAACCAGTTCTCGCAACATTTTTAAACATTCTATTAAGCCAGCAGCAATGAGCTCAGTTAATAAACACATGCATAAGGGACAGCGTAGGAAATACCATATCATGGTCCTCCAATATGTGGAATTACTGCTGTCAGACATATATGACTTAGCCTGTGTAGGCTATAGTGGGGTAGACACTAAGGGGTACAAGTTTCTAGGGTTTCATATTTGTACCCAACACTTTCCTAGTTCATTCATTCCTCATTTCTTCACATGGTATAGAGCGGGTTCCCTAGTGGGACCGTTTCTTCCTTGGGCCCACCTTCGAAATTTTTTTTAGCCTGCCCTAAACGCGCTTCGCGTCCTGCCCTAAAACTTCGCGGCCCCCCTTAGCGGCCCCCCTTCGCGGCCCCTTTGCGGTCCCGGTCGCGACCCCTTAGCGGCCCCGCGGCCCCTCTTAAGGCCCTTCGCGGCCCCCTCACGGCCCTTCGCGGCCCCTTCGCGGCCCTTCGCGGCCCCCCTCTCGGCCCTTCGCGGCCTCTTCGCGGCCCTTCGCGGCCCTTTGCGGCCCCCTCCACGGCTCTTCGCGGCCCGCCGTAGCCGCCCTGCCGCCCCGTTGCTGCCGCCCCAGCAGCAGCTGCCGTCGCGCCTACTGCCGCTGCCGCTTCCGCCACGACCGTTCGCCGCCGCCGCTGCTGCCGTGACAGCCGCCGCCGCTGCTGTCGTCACAGCCGCCGCCGCTCCTGCCGTGACAGCTACCGCCGCTGGCTGCTGAGACAGCCGCCGCCGCCACTGCCGTGGCAGCCGCCGCCGCCATCCCGGCCCTGCCCTGCAGCCGAGTCGCGGCCCTGCCCTGCCGCCCTGTCGCGGCCCTGATCCTGCCGACGCACCTCGGCCCTGCCCCACCACTTGCGGGCTTCTACCCACCCGCCCCTGGTAAGCGCACCGCCGAGCCGCGCCCCTCCTGCTGCTGCTACTGCTAGCCTGCTTCTGCTGTTGCTGCTGCTAGCCTGCTGCTGCTGCTGTCATGGCTAGTCCCAACGTTCTTACCTTTGATGCTGAGGGTCGAGCGGTAGACTTTGAGGTCTGGATAAATGATCTGCAGCTTTTCCTGCAGTGCGATAGCAAAGACGGCCTCTCACTGTTCGATCTCACGTCTGGTGCCTCTGCTGCCCCTGCTGCTGATGCTGCTAGTACTGTTCGCTCGGTCTGGACCACGCGCGATGCTGCTGCTCGCCTTGCTGTGCGTAGTCACCTGCCCTCCTCTGAGCGCGCGCACTTTAGTCAGTACAAGAGTGCTAGCACTCTGTACACTGATGTTGTTGCACGCTACTCCTCCCTTGCCACTGCTGCCCTTAGCCGCCTCATGCTGCCGTACCTGTTCCCTGACCTAGCCGCTTTTGCCACAGTCGCTGACCTCATTACGCACCTCCGCACTAGTGACACCCGCTACCGCGCTGCGCTTCCTGCCGAGTTCTGTGCCAAGAACCCCCCCCCTATGTACATAACTCTCTACTACCTCATCACCCCGGCTCCCTGACTCCCTCCGTTCGGTCAGGGACCACTTCCTCTCCCTCTGCCCCACCACGCTCACCGTTGACCTCCTCGAGGAGCACCTCCTTGCAGCTGAGAAGAGTATAGTCGCTGTAGGAGCCTCTCGTGGTGACCCCCGTGCCCCTTTCTTTGAGGGGTGCTCCCCCGTCCCTCTTTTGCCTTCTGTTGCCTCTGCTGCTGCTGTCGACCTCGATGGCACCGAGTCGGTCGGCACTGCGTCTGCCCCTAGTGGCAAGCGCCGCAACAGCAAGGGCAAGTGGGGCAAGGGGGGTGGAGGGGGCGGCGGGGGCGGCGGTAGTGGCGGTGGAGGAGGAGGAGGAGGGGGTGGGGGTGGAGGTGGGAGTGGTGGCGGGACTGGGGGCTTAGGTGGCGGCGGTGGAGGTGGAGGCGGCGGAGGCAGCGGGAGTGGGGGTGGAGGTGGCGGCGGCGGCGGAGGAGGTGGGGGTGGCGGGGGTGGTGGTGGGCAGCGGGGAGGCTCTAGCGGTGGCCAGCGCCAGCAGCAGCAGCGCTCCCGTGAGACCCCGTCGCCTCAGCAGCTACGTGAGTGGTACGCTGGGCGTGGGAGGTCTGGGGGTGCTGGTCCCTGCACCTACGTTCTTTGCACCGGCGACCGCAGTGGAGAGACGTGCGGAGGCCCGCACACCACACCACGCTGCTTCGGCCGCCTGACTGACGCCTGGCGCACTCAGTTCCCTGGCTCCTCGGAGATCCCTCGCTGGGATATTCTGCTTAAGTCGGGGGTTGCTATCTTTGATCTTGATTATGATGCTATCCTTGCTGCTATGTATGCTGTGTCTATTAGTGATGAGGGTGACTGTTACCTGTGTGTTCCGCCCGACCCGGGCATTAAGTCTGCTGCTCCAGGTGCTGGTGAGGCTGCTCCAGGTGCTGGTGAGGCTGCTGCTCTAGGTGCTAGTGAGTCTGCTGCTCCAGGTGCTGGTGAGGCTGCTCTCTCAGGTACCGCGTCGGCTCAGGTCTTGCACACTTTCACCCTTGACTCGGGTGCCTCCCGCTCCTTCTTTCGCGACTGCACCACCCTCTCGCCGCTCAGTCGGCCGGTGGCAGTCTCTCTGGATGACCCCTCTGGGGGACCAGTTGTGGCCCGTTCCTCCACTGTCCTCCCATGTCCTGCTGTTCCGTCCGGCTCGCTGTCTGGTCTTCACCTCCCCTCGTTCTCTACGAACTTGGTGGCGGGTGCTGATCTTCAGGATGGGGGTGTTCACCAGTTCACCCCTGCCCACCAGCGTGTGACGCACTGCACGTGTGCTCGGACGGGTCGTCACCTGGCCACGTTCACCCGTAGGCCAGGGTCCAGCCTGTACACCCTTACCACTGAGTCTCCTCCTCGTCAGGTAGCCGCGTCGGGTCAGGTGTTTGCTGCAGTGTCCTGGTCTGGCCCTGAGTCTGCCCCCTGCTCGTGTCGCCTCCTGGCCCACGAGACTCTTCTTTGGCACCACCGCCTTGGTCACCCCTCCCTGCCTCGTCTTCGAGGCATGGCCTCCCGTGTCCTGGTCTTGGGTCTTCCTGAGTCCCTCCCTCCCCTTCCTCCGGGGCCTGCCCCTACCTGCGTTCCCTGCGTCGAGGGTCGGCAACGCGCCGCTCCTCACTCCTCCGAGTTTCCTCCAACAGAGGCCCCACTGCAGACTCTTCACATGGACGTGTGGGGCCCAGCCCGCGTCCGTGGACAGGGTCACGAGCGTTACTTCCTGCTGGGCGTTGACGACTACTCGCGTTACACCACAGTCTTCCCCTTGCGCCGCAAGGGTGAGGTCACTGAGGTGTTGATCGACTGGATCCGCGCTGCTCGTCTCCAGCTCAGAGAGAGTTTCGGCTCGGACTTTCCTGTTGTGCGTCTGCACTCAGACAGAGGTGGAGAGTTTTCCTCCGACCTTCTGCAGGCCTACTGTCGGGCGGAGGGCATCCGCCAGACGTTCACGCTTCCGGCCTCTCCACAGCAAAATGGGATTGCCGAGCGCCGCATTGGCATGGTCATGGATGTCGCTCGTACGTCCATGATCCATGCGGCTACTCCCCATTATCTGTGGCCGTTCGCGGTTCAGTACGCGGCGCATCAGATCAACCTTCAGCCCCGGGTCTCCATGCCGGAGACCTCCCCCACTCTGCGGTGGACGGGGAAGGTTGGCGATGCGTCTGCGTTCCGTGTCTGGGGATCTCGAGCTTTCGTCCGCGACTTGTCGGCGGATAAGCTGTCCTCCCGTGCCGTTCCCTGCGTCTTCCTTGGATTCCCCCCTGACGCGCCTGGCTGGCGGTTTTACCACCCCACCTCGCGCCGTGTTCTGTCCTCTCAGGACGTCACGTTTGACGAGTCGGTTCCCTACTACCGTATCTTCCCCTACCGCACTGCCGCCCTCCCCCCCCCGCCGCTCTTCCTCGCGCCAGGTCCTCCCCAGGTTGACCCCCTCCCCCCTCAGGGTCCTGCCCCCTCAGGTGTGTCCCAGGTAGACGCAGTCGAGCCTGTCGAGGTAGCTGTTGACTCTGGTGCTGGGTCTGGGGGTGCTGAGCCTGAGCGTGCGGAGCCTGGGGGTGCAGAGCCTGGGGGTGCTGAGCCTGGGGTTGCTGAGTCTGGGGGTGCTGAGACTGGAGGTCCTCCGAGTGCCCCGTTGCGGCGGGAGCCTCTCTCTCCACGGCAGCTTCGTGAGTGGTACGCTCGGCGCTGTAGCCGTGCTGCTGGAGCTAGGGGGCCTACTGCTGGAGGTGCTGCTGGTGCTGGGGCTACTGGAGGTGCTCCTGGTGCTGGTGCTGGAGCTACTGGAGGTGCTGCTGATGCTGGTGCTGCTGGAGGTGCTGTTGGTGCTGGAGCTGCTGGAGGTGCTGCTGGTGCTGGACCTACTGGAGGTGCTGCTAGTGCTGGAGCTGCTGGAGGTGCTGCTGGTGCTGGAGCTACTGGAGGTGCTGCTGGTGCTGGAGCTGCTGGAGGTGCTGCTGGTGCTGGAGCTGCTGGAGGTGCTGCTGGTGCTGGACCTACTGGAGGTTCTGCTGGTGCTGGAGCTGCTGGAGGTGCTGCTGGTGCTGGAGCTGCTGGGGCCGCTGGCCCTGGAGGTGCTCGTACTGGAGGTACTGGAGGTGCTGCGGGAGTTGTAGCTGGAGACCCTGGAGCTGAGGGTACTGGTGCTGTCTCTGCTGGTTCTGGAGGCGCTGCGCGGCCGCAGCCGTACTTCATTCCGCTCTTTCAGCAGGTTCTTGGTCTCCCGCCTGCTACTGGTCCTACTCCCTCTTTAGCCTGTCCTCTGCCTGTCCAGTCGCAGTCACAGTTACAGCCTGCCTCGCCACTCCCTGGTCCTTCTCCCTACACTGGTCCGACAGGAGGTCTTACGGAGCGTCGTGAGCCTGAGTCTCGTCCTGCGTCGCCTGAGTCTCGTTCTGCGTCGCCTGTTCGTGCTGCTCGCACTGGTCGTCGTGTTCCGCGTCAGCGTCCTCCTGCTGTCCCCGGCACACACCGGATGTCGCTTCGTCCTTCCACTGCTCCACAGCGTGTCCCTCTGCAGTCTCCTCCCGCGTCCTCTCTTCCTGACGTCCCTGACCCGCCGTCAGACCTTGCTCGCGCTGCCAGTCCTACTGTCACGCGTCTTCTCGCTACTGTTGTCACTGACCCTTCCTTTGAGACTACGTCTGCGTCGGCTCTTGTAGCTGAGCTTGTCGACTTTGCTGCTCACTGTCGTCTCGACTACGCCGCTAGTCTAGTTGCTGAGTCTGAGTCTGTCTGTCCTCCGTCCGTCGGGGGTGAGTGTGCTCTTGGCACGGACGTCCTTGAGGACAGGCAGGAGGAGTTTGAGTGCTTTGCCGCTGCTTTATCTCATCTCGTGTCCATGCTGATTGCCCCTGAGGGAGACCCGGATGCACCAGACATCCCGACCCCGCGCTCTTACGCAGAGGCGATAGAGGGTCCATACTCCTCTCAGTGGCTGTCAGCCATGGACGCAGAGATGGCTTCTTGGAAGTCCACAGGCACCTACGTCGTCGAGGTTCCCCCGCCTGGGGCGAACATCGTCAGTGGCATGTGGATTTTCAGGGTGAAGCGGCCGTCGGGTTCTCCGCCTATCTTCAAGGCGCGTTACGTTGCACGAGGCTTCAGTCAGCGTGAGGGAGTTGACTTCTTCCAGACCTTCTCCCCTACCCCGAAGATGACCACTCTTCGGGTTCTGCTGCACGTCGCCGCTCAGCGTGACTACGAGCTTCACTCTCTTGACTTCAGCACTGCTTTCCTACAGGGCAGCCTGCACGAGGAGATCTGGCTGCGCCGCCCACCTGGCTTCACTGGGTCGTTTCCTCCTGGTACCCAGTGGAGCCTCCGGCGGCCTGTCTACGGTCTCCGCCAGGCACCCCGTGAGTGGCACGACACACTGAGGACGACTCTTGCTGCTCTTGGGTTTGCTCCTTCTACTGCTGACCCGTCGCTGTTTCTACGCACCGACACCACTCTGCCGCCGTTCTACGTTCTCGTGTACGTAGACGACCTGGTCTTTGCTACTGCTGACACGGAGGCACTCGCCCACGTGAAGTCGGAGCTGCAGAAGAGACACACGTGCACAGACTTGGGTGAGCTGACAAGCTATCTTGGCTTGCGGATCACCCGGGACAGAGCACAGCGCACCATTACCTTGACTCAGTCACACATGGTGCAGCAGGTCCTTCAGCGCTTCCGCTTCACGTACTCCTCGCCACAGCCCACTCCTCTGCCTACCCGCCACTCGCTCTCAGCTCTGCCTTCGGATGAGTCCGTAGAGCCGAGTGGCCCGTATCCAGAGCTTGTGGGCTGCCTCATGTACCTGATGACCTGCACTCGACCTGACCTAGCCTACCCTCTTAGCATCCTAGCACGCTATGTTGCTCCTGGCCGACACAGGAAGGAGCACATGGATGCTGCTAAGAGGGTGTTGCGCTACTTGTGCAGTACGTCGGGCATGGGGCTCGTGCTTGGAGGACGGGCTCGAGTTGTCCTCACTGGTCACGCAGACGCCTCTTGGGCTGACGACCTGGCTACTCAGCGGTCGTCACAGGGTTACACCTTCAGCCTTGGTTCGGGCTCTGTTTCGTGGCGGTCTACCCGCTCGTCTTCTGTTCTCGGCTCCAGCTGTGAGGCCGAGATCTACGCAGGGGCCATGGCTGCACAGGAGTTACGCTGGCTCACCTACCTGCTGACCGACCTGGGAGAGCCGCCTCGTTCTCCTCCAGTGATGTACGTAGACAACAAGGCCATGCTGGCCTTGTGTCAGGAGCACAGACTGGAGCACAGAACGAAGCACATTGCTCTTCGCTACTTCCTTGCACGTGAGCTGCAGCAGCGTGGCCAGCTGCGCCTTGCTTACGTGGCCTCTCAGGCCAACACTGCTGATATCTTTACCAAGGCACTTCAGCCTTGTGATCATCAGCGGTTCTGTACTATGTTAGGTCTTGTGCCTACCTGGCCTCACTTGCTTACCTCTTGACTTTACTTGTACTGTGATCTATATATACCT